AGGAATGGCCTCTGGACGCGTATTATTTTTCCGTCCACTATTCGGAGATTTGTCTCGCCCAGACTCGACCGCCTGAGGACTTCCAATTTGAGCCCCCTCCATTTTTCTCGCTCCGCGGGTGAAAAGTCCCGCTGAAAAAAACTGATGGATGGGCGTGTTTAAGCGCAGCTTTCCTGCTTTCTGTAAAAGATTTAGGTCTCAGCTATACAAATACCCCTGATTTATCTCCCCAAGTCCAACAAATATCACCGAAAGCCACTTGCCTCTGTGGATTCATATGTAAAAATTTCACCTTAAATGCACTAAGAATACAACTCTTCAAAATGTATGTTTTACCTCTCCTAGATTACTGTTCAATTTTCTTCGGTATAATGCCCTCAGACGGCCGAAAGGAACTAGAAGGCATTCAGAGACGGTTTACTAGATCTTTGTCTAGAAGTGATGGCATCCAGGGTTCATACTTAGAACTATATCACGATATTCTCAAAATGAATTAACTTACCAACCAAAACGCCCCTAGAAACACCAGAAATTGCAAGGATATTATAAGGATTCCCAAATTCACAAAGTCCCAACAGTCAAGTTTCTACACCATAAGATATGCGACTATCTGGAATTCTCTTCCAGGTTATATCCGGAAAAGTCGAACCCTAATCGAATTTAAAATAAAAACTAAGAAATTCCTTTCAAATAACAATACACATTTATTTTTGAAAAAGATAGGACATTTTTGAAGTCAATTCGTTGATATTGAATTTGGTCCAAAAGGGCTCTGATGATGCAAGCCGATTGAAAAATACCAGAACACAGCACTAAAAATAATCAAATTTATAAAACACAGCACCATTGATAAACATAAAATGGACAATGATAATCTTCTATTTTCCTCCCTTTCTCGTTTTCATCAGCTATGTCACCTGACACTAAATATCTCTTATAAAGCTAATAAAAGTATACCCTTCGATAAAACCCTGCATATTAGTCGTGCGTATGTCTATATTAAAGCCATATTAAACATATATAGAACTATATTAGGTCATGGTAAACAGTCGACCACTACTCCTATAATTTCACATTAACAAGAACAATATGATACATGATCCAATAGTATTTTGACAGTTTTGATTGTGACTTACCATTGAATGCTTCTTACTCCTTATATATATTCATCTTTTCCAGCTCTTAGTCCAGACAACGATGGTAAGCCTCGTGAAAAATACGTAGGAACTGTGCGACCGCCCCCTTACAGCTGGCCAGGTAGACTGACAACCAGCAACTAGAGCACACCGAAATTTACCCAACAGGAAAATAATTTCAAGGTCAGGCCGATATCAAAGTTCTTCAATTGCCATGAAGGACATATTATTCATGCCCCCGAAAACTACCAAACTGCAAACTTCAATTTTTATATTGTACATATCGTTATTTTTTGAAAATTTTGTTATTATTTTCCCTTAGAACTGAGTTTTTTTCAACTTAAAACAAACTCTCAATTCGCGCTCTTTTGGCTAACCAGATACCCGAAGCAAATGAAGTCAAAGTGCGGTTGAAATTGACGAGTTTGTTTTAGGTTTTTTTCCTGAGTTCAAAGGGAACTGACAGTGCCCAAGGGGCGCTACAATAAACCTATGCTATTCTATTCTATTTATTAAGGGGCTTCTGAGTCTGTTCCTTGGTCTTCTTCTTCTAAGGTAGCTGTAGAGTAATTTTGCGTTCTGTGTTGCTTTTCGTAGCAAATTATTCTCGAAATCTCAGCGCGTCTCAGTTTTTTCTTTGTGTCTTATGAGACAGTTTAGTTAATTTGCAGATAAATGTGCCCAGGGTTATTAAGGATCTGCGCATATCATACTCCAAGAGTCTCAATCTCTCGGAGCACTTTGTCTTAATAGTCTCCAAATCACGCAGAACGACCGGGTATTTCCTCCAAAACTTTAAAACTAGGGACATCAGAATGTGCCTTTACAACATGTACGTTAGACCTGGCCTGGAATACTGTTCGTTTTCATTTAGTCTCATGCGTGCTGCTGAGCGAAAGATATTAGAATACGTTCAACACTATTTTACCAAGAAAATTTTATCCCCAGAACACCGACATTTGTCTTAACAAGAACGTTGCCGGCCTTGATTCTTATGGTTCCTTAAAATACAAAAAGGATTATTTTTCTATTTAAACTCTTGCATAATCACACATTTAACCCACTCACCTCTTTAAGACATCATATTCACCCACGACGTAACAGTCACCGTGAGGTCTTCTTATTTCTGCCTCTGGCACGTGCACTTAAATATCGTCGGTTCTTTTCTGTAAATGCAATTGCTATTTGGAATAACCTACCACTGAATGTGAAAACTCTGCAAAATTGTCCTTTATTTAAGTGAAATATTACTCAATTTTTGCATTCAGAAAAGCTTCCTCAAATTTCGCGTGCTGAATCCACTGATAGACTGTAACGTAGCGATGGCGTTTGTGGTCTCTGAAGACTATGGCCAGACTCACCAGCTGTTCCTCAACGCATTTACTTTGACTATCCCCAACTTCATGAAAGGAATTGACGTCCGATAATCTCCGATACCGTGCAACCCCCTTCCCTCCCCCCCTTCTTGACGGTTGAAAATCTACCGCCAGCAGTTTTTTTACTTCTGAACCCTCCAAATCACAAAAACGACTATCAACTATATTTTTATAATTCAGGAGTTTTTTTTTCACTGCTGGTCGGATTTGTGTTCAATCGCTTCCCTTGACAATGCCTGTAAACTGGCATTTAATAAATTAAATTAAATTGAATTATTAAGGTGCTGTAAATTGAACTCCACTTTTTATCACCCACATCGTTTTCCGAATATACAACCGAGTGATGCGTAGAGATGTGTAAAATTTCGCGCATTATGATTTGATGTATCTCATAATTGACGCTAATGTCTGTAAGGAGGTGATAGAATGTGGACGGTTAACACTTCAGCACCCAGGTCACCTAAACAGGGTACATTGTTGCGCAGAAGGCAAATAGCCCCTAACCAACTTCTTGTGGAAATGTGCGCAAACATATTCACATAGCGTAATTCGTCTTGATCCCATTGGGAGAATGCCTTCCCTGGCATCCTCTGCTTAGTATCCTTTTCCGCCAATTTCATTTACATTTTACACTCTCCAATGCCTCTCCATCAATTACGCTACTCTCGCCTTATCTGCCGTAAACAAGCTCGCACGCGGTCGTATTTCATGCTTACTGCAATAAAACCACTTGCAATAAAAAAGGCAAGGGAGGCAGCAGGTCGTTCACATCGTGACTCCGTTCAAAGGGAATTCATTGATCGACCACATTAACAAACACGTGGGCGGCAATGCCTTCAGCATATAGGGCCCTCGCGATCGATCAGCTTTCAAATACACTGTTGCGATTTGCTGCAACACCACGTCCGTCATTGTGATCGAACAACTGGCACCTGCAAGATGTCTCCAGCCCCTATCGCTGCTTACAAAGATGCCACCAACCAAGATGATGCAGAGACCGAGCGAATTAATCCCTACCTCTGGGTTTTAGACGGTCTGGTGTCATCAATCACCAAGACAGCTTATAGGAAGCCGGAGAAGTCCAGCATCCAACTGAGAATATATATGATGCGATGGTTAAAGACCAACCTACAGAAACTTCGCAAGAAGTACAAAAAGTACAATGGCGATCGAAAAAGGGACACAAAGGCCCTCAGTCCATCTTTGAGAAGTGGGGACCCAAGCTCCAGCGGATCGGCTGCAAAATTGCATTATGCAACACCACAGGCAGTTCCAAACTTTATTCCGCACACTTTATATGCAAATGAACAGAACGCTGGCTGCCAGTCAGGTAGGTGCATCCTAATGCCTCATATACATAACAGACTTCTTCCCCGTTAAAGGCTCTAGATGCTTCCAAAGAGAAGATTTGATGGACCTCGACGTAATCAGGTCTCATCATCTACATAATCACCTCGCCCGTCGCGTAAGTTGTCTGACACGGACTTTTCATCCACTCATCTGCTCCTAGATATCCCAGCCCCATATTGGCACTGCCGTTCAAGTTTCCATAAACGTGGAGAACAAGGTTCGTCCGGTGGTCACCAATTTCCACCGAACCTTCACAAATGCATTTTGTACAATGCAAACTGATGATTTGAACGGGTACGCAGGTCGACCTTGGTATTCATTTGACTGTGTAAAGAGGCAGCGATGCAGTCCTAACGAGAACCTTCTTGTTATCCTGCAGGTTGCCTGAAGATGGCCAGCGAGCGGAGGCAGCAGTTGTGCTGGTGGATCGAGCAAAGCGACATCGCGCTTGCAAGAATCGATCACCAGCCAATGTTGGCCTGATCATTTGCGTCGAAAGCGAAAAGCAACAGCAGCAGCAGCAGCAGCAGCAAGAGCAGCAGCAAGGGCGTCCACGTTGGCGATGGTGGTCGCACCGAGGGGAATTGTTGATTGGCCTTGGACTACTCGTCTCTTGTATGTTAGTCGCCGGCGGGCTTATCTGGAGCACTTCGGACACAAAATGCATCTACGGCGGATTTGGCCTTTGCGTCCACCGGACAGGACCGCCAGCGATTTGACATGATCGGCCTCATCGTTTATGCTATAAGCAGACAGTCACGCAGGCAGGCAGGCGGGCAGGCAGGAATGCAGGACCAGCAACATGAATGGCAAGGACACTAGAAGCAACCCGAACTACAGTAACAACATTAGCAGCGGCGGTGGCGGCGGCAGCAGCAGAGGCGTCCACGTCGGCAATGGTGGTTGCATCGAGAGGAGTCGTTGATTTGCGTTGGATGACTCGTTTCCTGTATGCGAGTCGCGAGCGGGATTGTGTGGAGCACTAGCAATACAAAGTGCATTTACGGCGGGTTTGTCGCTTGTGTCCACCGGACTGGGCAGCCACCGGTTTGATGAGGCAGATCACACCGTTCTCCATTCAAACATGACGGTATGTTCATTTGGCAGATATTATCCACTCAAGTTCTTACTCACACTAGGCCGCACGTGGCAGTAATTGAAGAGTGTGGAAGTTGAGAGAAACAGGCCAGAAGACGTAGAAGGAACTGAAGGTAGAGAAGTGGACTGTCGAGTAGATAAGGAGGCGAATTTTGATAACGAGTGCACCGTGTACTCTGGTGTCTGGCCGTATAACTTATCACATAGGTTCCACGTCTTTTACATGATTTAGGCCTATTTTCCATATTTCCTCATTGATCTTATGTACGCTAAGCATTGTCATCGAGTTTGCCTTTAGATATTGAGATCATCCCAAGACTCGTCTCCGTAAAATTTAGATTGACTAGGCGCGTCTCTTGCTGCAATTACAGACAATCACATACTTGTAGCGTAAGTGTTCACTAAATCGAAGATTTTGGA